TCTAGGTTTTCTAGTTTGTGTAGAAGTTTTTGTAGTACTCTCAGATGGTATTGTGTATTTCTGTGGTATCAGTTGTACTGTCTCCTTTTTCATTTGTTATTGAGCTTATTTGAGTCCTTTCTCTTCTATTTCTGGTTAATGCGGCTAGTGGTTTATCAATTTTATTTATCTTTTCAAAGAATAAACTTTCTGTTTCATTGATCCTTTGTATTGTTTTTATTGTTTCCCATTTCATTTAGTTCTGCTCTGAGCTGTATTTCTTTTCTCCTGCTGGCTTTGGGTTTGGTTGGCTCTACTTTTTCTAGTTCCTTGAGATGTGACATTAGGTTGTTAATTTGTGACCTTTCTGTCTTTTTGATGTAGGCATTTAAGGCTATGAATTTTCCCTTTAGAACTGCTTTTCCTGTGTTACACAGATTTTGAAAGCTTGTGTCCCCTTTATCATTTAGTTGGAGAAATCTTTTGATTTCTATCTTAATTTCATCATTGATCCAAGGATCATTCAATAGGAGGTTATTTAACTTCCATGACTTTGGGTAGCTCTAAGTGTTTCTCTTAGAATTGATTTCTAGTTTTATTCCACTGTAGTCTGAAAAGATACGTGGTATGATTTTGATTTCTTTTGAATTTGCAGAGACTTGTTTTGTGGCCCATGATATGATCTGATCAATCTTGGAAAATGTCTCATGTGCTGATGAGAAAAATGCATACTCAGTTTTTGGGTAGAATGTTCTTAAATGTCTGTTAGGTCCATTTGTTCTAGAGTCCTGTTTAAGTCCAGGGTCTCTTTATTCATTTTTTTGCTTGGATGATCTGTCCATTTCTGTCAGTGGGGTGTTGAAGTCCCTAGCAATTAAGATACTACTGTTATTTCTTTGCTAAGATCTAGAAGAATTTCCTTTATGAAACTGGGAGCTCCTGTGTTAGGTGCATATATGATTGTTATGTCTTCTTCTTGAATAGCTCCCTTTACCATTACATAATGACCATCTTTGTCTTTTTTTTACCACTGCTGATTTGAGGTCTATTTTATCTGATGTGAGAATGGCTACATCTGCTTGCTTTTGGTTTCCACTGGCATGGAATATTTTTTTCCTATCCCTTGACTCTGTATGAGTCCTTGTGGTTTAGATGTATTTTTTAGAGACAGCAAGTACTTGGGTTGTGTTTTTTCATTTATTCAGCCAGTCTATGTCTTTTAAGTGGGACATTCGGACCATTCGAGTGTTAGTATTGATACGTGAATACTGTTCTGTTCATCATGTTAGATGATACCTTATTGTTTTGTTTTCACTCTTTTGCTACTGTTTTATAAGAGCTGTGAGCTATAACTTTCGGAGTTTTTTTACACTGGTGGGTGTCTATCGTGCTGTTGCGTGCATAATGCACTTTTGAGCATTTCCTGTAGGGCAGGTCTAGTAGGAACAAATTCCCTTAGTTTTTGCTTGTCTGGAAAAGTCTGTATTTCTCTATCATTTATGAAACTTAGTTTTGCAGGCTACAGAATTCTTGGCTGGCAGTTGTTCTGTTTTAGATTAAAAGTGGGACCCCAATCCCTTCTGGCTTATAAGGTGTCCACTGAGAAGTCTGCTGTTAGCCAGATGGATTTTCCTTTGTAGGTTAGTTGTTGCTTTCGTCTTGATGCTTGTAGAATTTTCTCCTTCATTTTGGCTTTGGCCAAGGTGATGACTATGTGTCCTGGATATGTCCTATTTGCTATAAATCTTCGCAGTGTTCAATGATCATCTTGTATCTGAATATCTGAATCTCTGGTGATATCAGAGAAACTCTCCTCAAAATGTCCCTTGAATAAGTTTTCAATATTCTTTCTTATGTTGTCTCTTTAGTGAGTGCTTCATTTTTTTCATTCACGTCCTGAAACATTGTTTTGGCTTCTTTGTGTTGGTTTTCAACTTTCTCTTCAATTCTATTCATCTTGTTTGCCATCCATATTCTGAATTCCATTTCTGACATTTCAATAATTTCCTTTTGGTTGGGGTCCATTGCTGTGGACCTATTATGATCCTTTGGGGGTGTTGAACTAGCTTGTTTTTTCACGCTGCCAGAATTTTTTTGCTGCCTTCTTCTCATCTGAAACCTCTTCTCTCAGCTCAGGGTTCATAGGTTTGCAACACACCTGTTCTCCTTTGCTGGGAGAACTCATGTACTTTGTGAGTAGGAGATGTCCCTAGACAACACTTTTGTGTCCTTCTCTGGAGGACTGACCCAGTAGGAGAGGGGCGGATGCACTGAGAGCCTATAACACAGCTGGTTTCCTGTGTCATCTCGATCCCCTGTGGTTGTCACAGTCCATGCTGGTACTGGGGGATATTTATTTGGATTGGTGGGTTGGTCCCGAGGCTACTGTTGGAAGCTCAGGGAGGGGGCTGTGCAAGTCTCTCTCCACAGAGGCAGGTGGCATAACCTTGGTAGGTGCCTGAGTGGGTCACAGAACCTTGACCTGTGGTCCTGTGGATGCACCACAGGACCTTGGCCAGTGCCTGAATGGGTCACGGGACCTGGGCCAGTGTTGGGGATGTTTGTGTGGAGTGGTGGGTTGGATCCTAGGCCACTGCTGGAAGCTTGGACAAGGCACTGGGTGAGTCCCTCTCCACTGAGGCGGGTATTGTGGGAGATTGCTCTGCCTAAGTCTCCCAGTGGTAGTGGAACTGGCTGTTTGGTGAGGCTATCTAGGCAGTGGTCACAGGTGTGAGGACTGCAAGTGTTTGCTCTACTCAAGTCTAGGTGTTATGGTGGTATACAGCAGTGGGCGGCTTGTGGCTAGTGAGTCCATGGTGGAGAGTTGGATCACAGGTGTTGCACGGTTTTGTGGGGCATGGCCTGTTAGTCAGCACATAGGGCCAGGGGGCTTGTTCTGCTGGTCAGCACTTGGGGCCGCAGGGGCAGGGCTTACTGGCCAGGGCACAGAACCAAGGGGCCCACAGGTCTGTTGGGGAATGGCCCTCTGTGTGGCTTGCAGGGAGGGGAGTGTGGCCCACCTACTGGCGCACAGGACCAGGGGCGTAGCCCACTGCAGGGTGTATGGGACTACAGGATGTGGCCTGCCCATTGGCATACCAGAGTGGGGGATGTGGCCTGCCACACAGAGCTCGGGTCCATGGGGCATGCCAGGCCTGGGAGCTTTGCTCTTCCCACTGGTGTGCACTACCACAGGGGTGGGACCTGCCAGTTGGTGTGCGGGTCTGCAGGGGTATGGACCTTTGCTCCATGCCTGGATCCTGGGGGGCATGGGCCTCAGTGTGGCAACGCTTGGGCTGCGGGGCTTGCTCCACTGGGTAGGGTGCAGGGCTGCGCGGGCTGGGCCACTGGATGGCTGGGGCTCCCTCCCCATTCACGTCCTGCCCAGGCTGCTACCGTGGAATGCCTTTAGTTCCACTCAAGTTCCCTTGTGTGTGGGGGTGCTCACCTCCCAGTCAGAGGCATGCTGGTGCCTCTGCTCTCCCTGCTCTCTCCCTGGCCTGGCGAGGGGCAATGTCGGGGCAGCTGCAGTAAAGCCGATCCCTGTGTAGACTGGGAGCTTCAGACCTAAGAGCTCTGAGTGGTGTCAACTGCGGCAAACCCTGGAACAGAGATCAGTGGGTGCCTGCTGAGCCTGTTCTCTCATGCAACTTCACTATAGTCTCCAAGCAGTTCCCTGATCAGCATGGAGGCTTGCGGTGGTGGGGGGGGGACCCCCCACGGTTTGAGTCACAGTGTCTGTGCGAGGAGTGTGGGGTCCTGGGGCTCTCTCCTTTATCCCTTCCCACATGTAGGTGTCTCCCCCAGGCACCTTCTGATCTTGGCGAGGGGAACTTGCCGTCCCTGTCTACTTCACTCTGAGTGTCTCCTGTGGTTCTCTGGTGATCTACAATGCTTTCTCCCAGAGAGTCTATCTTTAGGTGAGCATCTACTTGCAGTTTTCAATCCTCTCCCAAAGAACAGCATATGCGAGCTGCTTCTAGTCTGCCATCTTGGCCCCCTTCTCGCTTCACCACTTGCTTTTTAAGCAGCAAATAGGAGAAACAGGAAGATCTGCCAGAGGAGACTCTGGACTAGATTCCTAATTCTATTCAAGAGTGGCACTGGCCAAGGTCCTGTGGTGCATCCACAGGACCACAGGTCAAGGTCTGGTGACCTACTCAGGCACCCACCAAGGTTATGCCACCTGCCTCTGTGGAGAGGGACTTGCACAGCCCCCTCCCTGAGCTTCCAACAGTTGCCTTGGGACCAACCCACCAATCCGAATAGGAATAGAATTCCTAATTCTATTCAAGGATAAACTGCCAGTCAGCAAATATTTACTGAGGTCATATGTACCTGGCACTATGTCAGGCATTGGAGTAACCCTTCAGGCTATCTTCATGGAGCCTATAATCTAGATGGGAAGTTAGATAATAAACAAACAAACAGGAAAAGATAAGTTAACTTATTGAGATGCTAATGTGTGTTTTGTTCTTATCATAGGAAAGCAAGGTATTTTTTTCTTGTCTTTTCCAAGGAAACTTACTGAGTGAGAGCTCCATATTCTAATGGCTTTTCTTTCACAGAGTCAAAAATACAAATTCTAAAAACCATCCAGGCTTATATTTTGAATGAGAGGATGATAAACAAGTTCTACATCTACCAAAAGATGTTAAAATTAGGTTAAAGTCTATCACTATTTACCTACTGATAGTAATGCAATAATTCTTATCCATAGAAATGAAAATTATGAATAAAAATTATGGAAACAATAAAATCTTTGAGATGTGTTTGTTTTATATTTGTGTGTCATGTTTTTATCTTTAAAAAAAATTAAACATGTTATAACTATTTGCCTAAATCATGTTTAGCTCAAAGCTGCTTCTAAATTTTTGAACAATGAGAGAAAAATTCCATATTAATAATTATAATCTTACTTCCACATAATTTATAGTTTGTAGCAAGACCTAAATTATTGAGTTTAAGTTCTTTCTTTCTATTTGTCAGTTTGTTAAGCACATAACTATTAAAAGGTTTACCTTTGGTGCACCATCCTTTTGTATCCCTACATCGTTAGTGGCAATTCCTTTCACACTACCATCATCATGAAAAAGGACCTAAAAATGGTCAAAAAAAAAAAAAAAGCATTTATTATCACTTTAGGATTCATAATAACCTGGAAAAGAAACAGTAAACAGATCTAGATTTCTTAGAAAGTGAACATGTTCTCTAGATTATAGAAATATAGGCTTTAAAATAGTTGGAAATGCCACAACCTTGATGAGAAAGAAAAGGGGGAGGCTGCTAGAGAGGGTTACTAAAGAAACCAGAAAGATTAACCAGAAAGATACACTGTTATAAACTCTCTTCAGATGTCAAATCATGTGTAAAGAATCTGAAATCAAGGCCTATAAAAAAAGAAGAACATGAAGGTGGGTAGGGAAAGAAAAACTGTCAGGAAAGCTTATGTCTCAAATGAGCTAAGACCCTCCAGAAACTTTATTTCTGGAACAAGGAGGGGGAAAATAGGCCACAAATATAATTCTGAGGATAAGAAACAGCAATACTCTGTAACTCTTCCTTGGTTTCTGTTTCCTCTGGAAGAAAATAATCTTTGGATAGAAAAGTACAAAATCTACACTGAAGTCACACAACATATTATAAGAAAGCACAGGAGTGGAGAGGTAAAACAAGGATTAGCAGCCAAGGATATGGAAAATATATACATAAAGGTTTTACTTGATATCCTGAAAACAAATCAACAGTGGAACGTAGCTATGGACTAGAACTAAAATCTGGCTCAGAGTATCCCCCCAAAAATCTTGGCAAACAGATCAGTAATCTATTGATTACTGATGATCATCATTAAGGAACTGAGGAAAACCAGAGAGGTACAAGAGACTGTAAGTGTTTGTGTATGTAACCAAAAAGTGAAAATCCTGGATTCTACAAACCACCTCCTTTTGATTTTGACACTCATTCCAATCAATAATGTTCAACAAGGAGAAAAGCAAAATCACACACTTGGGTCCAACAAACCAAATGCAAATGTATGGGCTGGGAAACCAGAAATTCATAGCAGCAAGTATAATACTGGGATCTATGTGTTTTATTTGACTTATACACGCTACAGGTAAAAATAAATGTAAAAAAAAGTGAATTTCCCTAGTGCCAAATACAAAAGGGAACTTCCCCCTATTCCTTTCAGCATTTCCTTTAGCAAACTGTAAATCCCTGTCTTTCTGAGATATATGGGAATCTTTTTAAAAGCTAAATAAACCTCTTGCCAGTTTTGCATTTCAGGAATATCTTTCCTGGGGGCTCTGGAGCCATCACTTTGAAATGTGAACATCAAGGCGGATGTCCTCCTGTCTTCCTGTCTCTGTGGGAGTTTGGGCTAGGTGCTTGGCTCCAAGTTGTAACTTCCTGCTTGTCAAAAAAATACAATAAGTTTTATTTTTCCTTTGGGTAAAGACAATTAACATGTATGTAATGGATTGTATCTGCTTGGCTATTTAAAAGGGTAAAATTTCTGTCTTGGTCTGTGACATGTATCACAGTCTTGATTTAATGCTCATTCAATATTAAAATGGTTTCATTCTTTTTTATAAATTGTGGAAAGGATTTTTCTGGGTTGGCAGATTTTATTTTTAATAATTTCCCCAATAATATACAATGAGAATCAACAGTGTGATGTGGTAGCCAAAAAAAGATTACTTTGAGGGTACTAATGGAAGAACAGTTTCTAGAAAGAAGAAGATAATAATAACAAGAAGCCTGTTATACACTAGGCTTGAAGTAGTTGATTCATTCTGGGTACCACTTTACAAAGTGTTAACAAAGAGAATGCACTCAGAAGTGAGCCAACAACAATATTAAAGGAACTCAAGTTATATGACATCATGGCTCAAAGAACTGAGAATATTTAGTCTAGGGTTGGGGCTCAGAACATGATACCCCAAAGTATGGCACCTTGGCATGCTGATATTGGGGCTCAGAAACCAATACTTCAAAATATGGTGCTCTGACATGCTGAATGGAAGAGGCCTCAACATCTCTCTGACCTTCCCCCCTCACCTTTGTCTCTTAATGCTCTGCCTCTCCCAAAGCACAGGGCAAAGTTGTTCTCTGAAGTTCCCTTATCTGTCTAAAGTATGGACATGCCAAAGAAGAAAACAATTACCTCTGGTCTCTTCTCTGAGTTTTCACTAACTGAACTCATACCGTAGGAAAAAAAACTGAAGTCTAGTAACAAACCTGGACAGACTTTTGTCACAAACCACTGTGCTCTACAGGCCAAACAGACTTTGTCCCAGGCCACGGTATGTTCTTCACGTCCACTGAATTCCCCTAAAAATCATTTACTACCCCTCTAAAATCACCCACATTTCCCTATCTCCCCTTCCCCTAAGAAGAAGGGTATATAACCATCTTACCCCACTGAGTGGTATAGTAATCACTCTATAATTTTCCCCTCATGCACAGCAATAGATCTGTATACCTTTTTCAGAAGCAAGGTCTTTCTGACCTTCTGTCCTCCTGTCTCCCACTCCTCTTTCTCCCCCAAGTCATAGAAACCAGAATTCATCTTGCCCAAGGCAGGTCATAGAAACTAGAACTCTTCCCCACCAAAGCCAGCCATAAAACCTTGAAAGGTTACTCTCTTGCTTCTCCCTTTTCCCTTGATGACCCTTATTCCAGAGGTGTCCTGCTCCATACCTGGGAGGAAGAAATGCTACACAGAGAGGCCAAGAAGAATCTGGACAGACTTTGCTGGGTTTCCCCTCTCAGTCTATTACCGTTAGATCATACCCCTTGCTTCAATCACATTTCTACACAGCTATCTGTTCTTATGGAGCCTAAGCATAAAAATAGACAATTTTCCCTGGGTCTTTGCTGTTAGACTTAAAGAATTCACCCTCCCCAAACTTCCACCCAAACCTCCTATAAAATCCACTGCTCTCCCCTTCCTAGGGGTGTATTAGGCACCTTTGCCTTTGCCAGATCCCTAAGGAGATAAAGGAATGGAATGCAAGAGAGGAACTCAAATTCCTTATCCCTCCTGACAAGGACAACGCTTATCCCTCCCCACAGGGGTCCCAGGAACTGGTTGTTTGGAAAAGAATTTATTACAGCAGCTGTTCTGGCCCAGTTGCTCACTGCCCCCAGAAAAACCCTCTATAAAACCCAAGGCTCTCCTCTTTTTTTGCATGGACATTCTTTTTGGCCTCCACCCACCTGCATCCATATGCTCAAATAAACAGTATTTTGCTACAACTGAGGCTTTGTGTGTCTCCCTCTTTGCTTCAGAGCTAACATTTGGGTTCTTCATGAAGGATTCCATGTCATGTAAAACTATTAAATTTGTTATGCTTTTCTTTTGTTAACCTGTCTTTTGTTATATGAGTGTTGGCTGTGACCCTTGTGATGGATAAGAAATGGTATCACACCTTTCTGCTGTTGGGGCTCAGAAAATGACACCATAAAATATAATGCTTTGACATGCTGAACTAAAGCAGCAGCCTCTCTCTGACCTTCCCCTCCCTCTTGTCTCTCAACCGTCTCCTCCAGAGCACAGGATAAGGCTTTTCTCTGATACTTCCTTATCTACCTTAAGACTGGGCCTGCCAAACAAAACACAATTGTCTTCCATCCCCTCCCTGAAATCTCATTATCAACTGCAGTAAAGACTGAAGAATGCAACCACACCTGGACAAACTTTTTCACAAGATCATGTCTGTCTCTTAGGCTCATTCAAATTTCAAAAAGAATCATTTACAAGTTAATTTATGTCTCCCAAGTCCATTCATCCTAAAAATCATGTACTGCCCCTCAACATTGCTAAACACCCCATCGCCCCTTCCCTTATGAAGAAGGGTATATAAGAATCTGGACCTCTTTAGGTTCTCGAGCAATCATTCTCAAGTGATTTCCCTGTGCTTACACACATTACATAAATTTGTATGCTTTTCTCCTATTAATCTGTTTATTGCCAGTTCATTTTTAGCAAACTTCCAGAGGGCAGTGAGTAAGCTTTCTTTTAACCCCTATACTGGGGACAAAAATCTCCAGAGTGAAGATGGGGAAGAAGAGAGAGCAGGGCATAATTGGAAAGTTGTCCTTGGAAGAGGGCAAAGATTTGTTCTGTATAGTATAAAATACTAGGTAATTTCTATCTAATATCAGGAAGAGAACACCAACAGTCCACAATTTTTCATCTCTTATGGTGTTCGATCATAAATTGGAAAATTCCTTGATGGGGGTACAATATAAGGAATTCACATACTCTTTGGATTAGATCCTTTTAATCTCAAAATTCTAAAATCATACGGCTTTTTAAAAATACTTCTTTACCTCTGTAAAATTCTTCGTTCATTTTCAAAATGAAAAGAGATTTCCTATAAATACTTAAAACAAAACAAAACTATACAAACCTCAGCAGCCGCATAACCAGGGTATACTTCAACACCAAGCGCTTCTGCTTGTTCTCCCATCCAGCTTACTAAATGTCCCAAGCGCACAATGTAATTGCCGTGATTGTTCATTGGAAGACCTACACATAGATGCTTAATTTATCAATCTTTTTATTGATAAAACATCTAAAAAACATAATTAAAAAATTCTAATCAATGTCTATTTCTGCATAAGTGTACATGTTATCTTGATGGTCATACTTTCAACTAATTTTCTACAATTTTGGTCTAGAGTTCTAATTTATTACATTAAAAACAACATTAAAGCACTAAATTAAAAATTCCTGGTTGGCTTACAAGGCTATCTCAATTCTTCTAGACTGGAAGACAAAAGAATTGGGTTCTAGTCCTGCTTTCCCCCAGCTAGCTGTATATGCTTGGATAAGTCCTTCAAATATCTGGGCCTCAGTTTTCTCATCTGTAAAAGGAGGAGATTTCACCAGATGAAATGTAGTTCCTTCCAGCTGTGGAATTCTACAGTTCTATTAATATTTAGAGGCCTCACCTGGAAGAATTGGCACAGGAATCCTGTATTTCTCTGTCAAAATTCCAAATCTGTCTTCTGTTACAGGAGTGTTAAGTGGAGCCTAGAAACAAAAGAATGAAAGAAAAAGAAAACTTTTTAGTTCATATTTGTAAGAGTAAATATAAATAAAAAAACCTTTAAATTTATTCTGATGACAAAAGGAAAGGGAACTCCCTCCTCACTTTTCTTTCAGCATTTCCTTTAGAAAACTTGTAACTATAAATTCTTTCTCTGTTTCTTTGAGATGCATGGGAATCCTTTAAAAATCTAAATAAGCCCCTTGCCAGTTTTGCATCCTAGGAATTTCTCGGGGGCCTTGGAGATATCTTCGAAACGTGAACATCAACTTCCTGCTTGTTGAAAGGTAAGAGAAGTTTTATTTTTCCTCTGGGTAAAGACAATTAAGATGTATGTAATAGACTGGACCTTCCAGCTATATACATATAGATAAAGGTGCCAAAGCAATAAAGGGCTTGAAGATGAAAACATTTTGAAAACAACTGATATTATGTCAATAATAATTCAATGATATCTACTTCAGATATAATATTGAAAAGAGAACTTTAATTAGGCACAATTAAAGTATTACTAGCTTGACAGAGCTTGATATTTTAGAAAGACGAGCACAGATAAAATTTTTGGAATTCAACTTACTATATATGAAAAGAAAATAGATAATATTTATATAATTTTTTGAACTCTATCAAGTATATTCAGACATTGAATATTCTAACCTGGGATGTAGGACAGGGATAATACAACCCATCTTATGCAAAAAAAAACTGAGTATAAAATTTTGACCAAGTTTTAAAATACAAATTTTATTTGAGGGCAATAAAACCAGCACTTGGTACTCTGCTTAACATATCTGTGGCTTTTCTGTCTAGGTTACGGGAGGCAATATTAATTTATCTCTTTAGAAAATCAGATTGTCCTCTTCGGCTTTAGATAGTGCATTGTCCCAGAAAATTTTATTTTATATTAAGAACAATGACACAAAGACCTGCAGAACAAG